TAACAGTACAGATAAAATAAATCTCCTTTGTTCTTTAATTCCGAATAAAAAAAGAAAAGAATTCCGGGTTATAAGTTCGGAATCCAAGAAGTTACAAGGCAATTATTTTCTAGTGAGCTGGGGGTGTGGGAGGAGGGTAGTTGGAGATGGAATATAATTTGGAGAAGAGGGAGGTTTGGAAGAGAGAAGGATGAGGAATTGATGTTGTGGGAGGTGTTGAGTAGAGTTTGTATCAAGGTAGGGGTTGAAGATCGTTGGCAGTGGAGGCATGCTTCAGATAGGAAGTATGTGGTGAAACAAGCTTATAAGTTTTTAGAATCCACGGATGCTATTCTTAATGACTGGTTGTGTAAGTTAATTTGGTGTCGATTAGTACCGTCTAAAGTAATTTTTTTTGGGTGGAGATTATGCCTTCAGAGACTTTCAACAAAATGAAATTTGCAAAAGAGAGGTGTGGAGTTAGAGGGGGGCTTAATGTGTGGGCTGTGCAAGGAGGAAGTGGGAGATACTAATCATGTGTTTTGTACATTTAAAGAAGTGTGGTTAATTTGGGTTAAGGTATTGTTTTGGTGGGGTATTGAGGTGGTGTTACTGTCTATATTGGAGGGGGTAGCAGAATTTTTCCTGTATGGGTTGGGAAAGGTGGTAGGGAAGGAATTGGGAGCAAGTATTTTTCTTGTTACATTATGGTATATATGATATTGGAGGAATTGTACAGTGTTCAAGGGAGATGTGGCTCTTAAGGAGGGGTTGTTGGATATGATACAGGAAAAGACGTTTTTCTGGGTAAAGAATAAAATGCAGGGATGTGTATTTTCTGTTTGGGATTGGAAGTTAAATCCAAATGAGTGCGCTGCAGCTATGAGAAATCATAAGAGGAGGCAGAAGGAGTTCCATCCGCATCAAAAAGGACGGGTATAGATGTAGAAGTAGCAAGATGCTTTTTTTACTATTTTTTTGTTTCCATTGATTATATTTTAATTTTGTAATTGGGTTAGAGTATCTTTTGTACTGTACATAATAAAATTGAATTTTACTGATAAAAAAAAAAAAAACAAGGCAATTATTTTCTTCTCTTTCTACAAGGCGACATAGCTTGTCGGTTGTCCCTCCTTCGCGTGCTCTGACAAGTCCAACTTATGTACTGTTT